CGTGTGACCTAAAGTCCTGTTATGTCTTTGCCAGTGTCTTTTTGCCATGAACTAGCCCACCATTGACAGAGTAAAATATATATACGCACCTCTGTATGCATCTGAGGGACAGTGAAGAGTCTGTGTCTGATCAGTTTGTTAGGTGGGTGTTTTAGTGATAGACCAGATGATATTTATGGCGTGTCTCTTCTTCCTTTCCCTTACATCATACATTTCTGTGGTTTCTGCTTTTAAGCCAAACTTCAACTTCACTTGAGTACTGCAGATAGGTAAAGTAAAAGGATCACTTCAATCCCTAGGTGACCCTCTTCTATTGAACCCTGCTGGGAAGCTGCAGGAACAAATCACATCTTGGTATATTTTTTAAATTTTGAACTCTGTTTGAGTTGTGCTTGCACTGTGCACATTGAACCATGGTTTCACAGTGATAATTTCTGTCTGGGATCATTACTTGTTATTTGAACAAAGAACTGAAAACCCTAAAAGGAGCTGAAAATCTACCATTACACAATTCTTACCTCATTTTCCCATGATGATTTCTGAGGCAAGAGATTTTCAAAACAGTGATATTAGATTAAACAGATAAAAGCTCCTATCTTCCCACATCAAGCACACCATTGACCCTGTCTCTAACCAAAATAAATACTCCAGAAATAAGAACATGCTTGTAAATAAATGGAGTTACACAGTGTAAACTGCCCAACTAGTGGCGCAAGAAATTTCTTCACTTCTTAATAGGATCTTACTGTGCTGGTTGAAAATTTCAGATTGTTTCTGAAGTTTAGCAAATGTAGCTATGCAGTTACGCACCAGTAAAGTACTCAGTCCCACACTGTAACTCAAATGTGTAGTTGATGGGAAAGGAGAAGAGAGAGCTCTTTATCCTAAAAATCAGATGTGTTTCTAAAGAGGAGTAGAACCAATACAATTTCTGTAGGGAGGAATTCCTGGATAAGCGAGCAACTGTTGTAAGACAAGCAAGCTTTCCTCAGAAGGGAAAGATATTGAACCCATCATATTTTATCTTTAAAAGAAGTTGGTGGTTTCATCTTCATTTTTTCTGTGTCTAGAGTAGAACCAATTATTTGAGAAGCAGGTAAAGGAACTGCCTTCTGTAGATACAACAGGAGCAAATTCATCACCTCCTCCTGAGGTGTTGTAGTCATTCCAAGTGACCTCCATCTGCTCCTCCAAAAGGGAATGGGTCTACCCATGACAGTCCAATGTTACATCTGCCAGCCCAGTATAGCATCTCAGATGTCCTAGCATGTCTATTATAATACTTGGCCTTTGTAGGTGCCCAAATTCTGGCTCACAGAAAATTCTAGAGATTATTTGATTCAGTGGTTTTCAGACTTAAAAACTAAGAAGATTGACCAGAGTATCATCAGTAGTAGTATCCAGAGTTGAATGTCCTTTTCATCAGTACTGTTACTCCAATACTATATGAATTCAGTAACTGCCCAGGACCTTGAAATACAGAAGGAAGTTACATGTATTAGTGAACATGGGTATTACAAAATCTACAAGTCTTTAGTGTTCATTCCAGTGTATTTTAGTTATATAAGCTCTTCTCCCAATTTTGCTCCTTCTGCTGTCCTTGTTTCATCCTCTTCAAAAGCTTTTTTTGTTTAGAATACTGAATTGTCACAGCTAACTCCTTTTTCCCTTTAAAGTGAATTTTCCCTTTTCAAATATTCCTTTTTGGTATCCTCAAGCTCCTGTCTACTTGTTCCTCTTCTCTTTCTTTGTTTTGTTTTAGTTTTTCTGTTGCTTTTTTTTTTTTTTTCTATTTGCTTTGGTTCTGGTTGATTGGTTGTCTTTTAGTATTATAAGCATTGCAGAAATGAAAAAGAACATTTTTTTATTAATTTTCGATTACTCCTTAGCTGTTACAGCACTACAATATTAGCTGTCCCCTCAACTGCTGTTCCAAAATTACTCATCCTCTTGTGTCTCTTGAAATTGCTACAAAGTCCTTCTGATATATTCTCTTTCATCAAAGCCCCTGTATATAAACTGTCTTCTATGCCCCAGTTCCAATTCAGTGTTTTTTACTTTTTTGAGATCTGCTGCTTCTTCTCTTTCATGTTTTTCAGGATCCTCTTTGTAACTTTGTTGCTTCTCTCCTTGTTCTGTTCCTCCAGTTCTTGTGGCTGCTGTTGCTGCTTCACACAGAATCTCCTCTCCATATTTTTTCTTCCTGCTGCTGGTGGGTTTTCTCCATCCAAACCCTGTTGTCTGCTTCCCTTTTCTGATGTCCTATTCTAAGAATAAAGTGACGTGCTTATTTCTGGATTCTGGATCTGATTTCAGATTCTGTGATGGCACTACTTGGAACTGTAACATTATGAATAGTCCCTCTCTGGACGTGGCTAATTGGTGACTTGAGTAACAAACCATAACAATCCTGTGAAGGCCACAGAACGAAAGAGTGTTTGGCAACACTCTTGTGAAAGTTCCAGATCAAAAACATGTTGTGCCCTAGCACAGTGGAAAAGCAGAAGTTAGTTGTCTTGCTTAAGGTTCAACTGCAACCACAACCATCGTGCAAAAGGAGAAGCATGGCCAGTATGGCATTTGTACAGCACGTAGGTCCAATTAGAAGGGACCATCACATGGCATAAAAGGCACTGCCAACACCCCTACTGGTGGTGTACACCCCACCACATCCTCAGCCACCACAGAAGGAGGACAGGCCCTCAGGATGTCACAGGATCTGCAGTGGTGGCTTGCTTTTCTTTCTTTTTTTCTCTCTCTTTTCTCTTTTCTTTTTCCTTTCCCACTAGCCAATCTTTTAATAACAGCATACTCTTTCTCACCTCAACTCATTCCACATCTTAATTTGGAATAATTGGGACCACTATAATGAACCACAAACCTCTCTGGCTTGCAACATCTGTGCACAAGTCTTGCAGTCATTTCAAACATCGCCATAGCTTTGTGAGAGCTATTTTAAGGCTTCTGAGGAGTATCAAGGAAACAGAAAAATTCTAACTTAAGCACCGATGACAATGCTTCATCTGCCTTTGGCTGAAAAAGGCAGGGCAAGGATGGACAGGCTGCTGCTGTGTAAGATGGTCAGCTTGTGGACAGTGGTTGCTGCTCAAAGAAGGCCCCAGCCCCCATTTCTCTTCAAGCACTTTCTTCTTCTCATGGGTTTTTTATCAGCAGATGAGTACCTGACTAAGTGATCAGTGGGTAATGTGTGGCTGCCACTTCCGTTTAAATAGCCTCGTAGATACAGGTCTGCAAGACTGACTGATTTTATTGAATTCTGTTTCTGCATGTAGATAATGAGGTCCTTAGGGAAGAACATAATACCATTACGTTCCCAAAAGAGGAATAATTCCATTAGAATCGTAAAATATCCTGAGCTGGAAGGAACTCCAACTCCACACAGTATCACACAAAATTCAATCCTTATGTCTGAAAGCATTGTCCAAAATGTTCCTTGTACTCTGGCAGCTTGAAGCTGTGCCCAGTGCCCTGGGCATCCTGTTCCAGAGCATGACCACCCTGAGGTGCAGACCCTGTCCCTAACCCCTAGTTGCCCCTTCCCTTACACAGCTCCATGTCGTTCCTTCGGGCCCTGTCGCTGTCACACAGAGCAGAGCTCAGCGCTGCCCCTCCGCTCCCTGGAGGAACTGCAGCCGCCATCAGGCCTCCCCTCAGCCTACTCTGTTTTACGCTGGACAAGCCCAGCAACATCATCTATACCTCACACATCTTGCCCTTTAGACCGTTCGCTGTTTCCATAGTCTTCCTTTGGGTACTCTATATTAGTTTTATTTATTTTGTTGCTTGTTTGCTTTCCTATCAGAGCAGAGAATGTACCTGAAGTTGGGAAGTGTTAAGCAACTGCTGCTGTTCCTTTTCACAGCTGGAATTCCAGGTCACCCACCTTGCATTGCCTCATGAAAATTCTACATTCATGAGATGTATAGAAAACTATATGCACATTCATATTACTGACCACCAGCCTTTACCATACCTGATCCGTTATCACACTTCACTTCCACAAAAGGAAGAAAATTGAAATTTTGCCAGCAGCGTGCTGTAACTCTGACATCTAACTGCTGAGTACTTGCACTCACAAGTTTCTTGGAATTTCTGTTAAATGGAGAAGGATCTGTAAAAAAAAGAAGAGAGAAAATAGCCAACCATCACTTACCAATGTGAAGGATTGTGAGCAAGGTGGATCCCAGAACTGTACAACAAAAGTGCAGTGCCACTAGCACTGATGGTGTAAGCAACTGTCATGGTGCAGTGGGATCACTGCCGTGGAGCAAGGACATCACCTGAGATCAAGTGACAGAGAAATGGTGACACATTATGAGAACTTCAGAGTCGTCCTCAGGTAACAAAGCTGGGAAGTGTACATGCAAACAGTGATCTTTGAAATCAAGAAGACCCCAGCCAATTCCAGCTCTTGTGGACCTGGACTGTTTTGACTTTGAAATCGGACTGTATTGCAGCAGTCTCTGATCCTTTTCCTCAGCATTGAAGACTGTCTCTCCTGCTTTCTCTGTCCCTTTTCCCTTCCCTGGTGACTTAAACCCACTCTATCTGCATGGCCAGTGCATGTTTTCTTTCCAGTCTCACCTTCTGAATCACAGTACTCCTGTATCTTTAGGTCCTCCCTCAGTTTCCTTCACTAATACTGCCCAGCCTGGTTTTTATCTCTTGCTTCTCCAGGTCTCCAGGTGCTCTCCACCCTTCCCCAGTCCTTGCCTTCCAGTGAGGAAAGCATTAAATGCCTGTGAGAGCACCTCCCATAGAGCTGGGCAGCATTTCCTCCATCAGGGAGCAGCAGTTCTCCACACAGCTGTATCCTGCCCACACTGAACTGACAGCAGCTTCCTAGGGGTACCAAAAAGCACTGTCTGACCATCATCTTCTTCCTACCATGTTTTCTAAATCATGACATAGACATAGCAGAACTTCTTGATAAAATTGTTACACTTTAAAAATGAGAAGGAGGCAGCAGAGAGAACACCTTGAAAAATCTAATTCTCAAATATTGCTGACCAACTTTCACTGAAACTTGGAAAATCCATTAAACCATAAGAACAGCAACAACAACCAACAGCTGTGGTACAGGGTGAAGTTCAGCAAGGCTGCGAGGATCTTCAAATATAAAGGATAACTTTAAAATGTAACTGTACTTAGGTGTCTGCTAAACTACTGTATAGCTTAGAAATGTGATACACAAACCAAATGTTAGCTCTGTCGTACAATGTGCCAGAAGAGTCTTCTCTTCTGACATGGACTGTTAACAGTGCAGAAGAATCATTTCCTATTTTCCACCCTGCCCTCACTGTGCTCATTAGCATTAAGCTGATGACTAAGTGCACTGCAGACAGACAATTACAGCAACATGAAGCCATGACCGTACTTCGCACCTCCAGTTTCACTTCTTAACAGCAGCTTTTAGAATAAGTCTTCTTTTAATGCTAGTCTTCTGGCTTTTTCTAGAATTGGTCTGAAAGACAAGAGACCTTGTTTCTGTTTGTCCATGGAGTTCCCATTTTTTCATGGAAAGATATCAAGAAAAGCATGTGAAGAACTGCTGTGCAAGAAAGGAAAGAATGGTAGCTATTTAATACGAGAGAGTGAAAGTGTGGCTGGAGCCCTGTGTCTGTGTGTTTTGTAAGTATTTTAATATTAAATTTCTTACAAGTTTTCAAATAGATTCAAAACTAAGAATTCTCCTTTTCTAATGTTAATAGTTCTTCCCTAATGTTAACAATATGTCTGTAGATGTATTCAAGCGATGTTGGTTGCCTTGTGTTTTCTTTACAGTGAGTGGTGAGTGGGGGCATTTGTAAAAACAATTCATACAACAGAGAATGGATGAACTGTTCTCTGCTGATACTGTTGTCTCTCTGCAGACAATAGAGAGAGCCCAGAGAAAACACCTCCGCCTGCCAAAACACGGCGAGAAGAACCTCACTCAAAGTTGCTACCTCTGTTATAACAATGAGTAACTACCATTCTAGCACTACTGAGACACAGAAAAGTCTCACAGTAGGATATAAAACATTTTCTTCTTCATATGCATGCTGATTATCTGATGAAACATTAGCCTTGTGTTTCCCACAAAGTTTATCGGATGTAAGAAGATAAGCTGAGACAGAAAGATGTCATGTCCTACTCAAATTCATGATAAGGCCATGAACAAGATGGGAATAGAAAACTGCTTAGCTTAGAACAATTAAAATTGGATTATTTTCTTTTCCTATTGGGAACAGTACTTTTTTCCTGTTCATAAAGTCTGTTTCACATTTTTCATAAATAATCAATCTGTTCTTAATATGTTCAGAGTTTACGAACGAGTAACTAGTCCTTTTTGCATGAACCTATAAAATTTTACACTTTCCTTGATGGTGTGTTTGAGAGTGATATGAAAAAAAAAATTAGCACAACATTTAATTAGCTCAGAAATGTCAGGAAATACTTTTTATCAATAATCAAAATCTCACTGCTTTTGAAACAAATCGAAGGAGAAGGGAGAAAAAGAGAGGAGGAAACATGGAGTACTGCTGGGTTGGTGAATAGAAGAAAGGATCATCTGGGAATGACAAAGATGAGTAAGGAGAAATGGCAGATGAGATACAAATCTACAAGAACTCCCTTGTCCTCCCACTAGTTAGTTTGTTAATTTGAATCATAATATGCAGTTGTTTATAAGCATTTAATAGTTGATTTGGAATCAGAAGTTTTCATTGTAATGGTAGTTTCATGTTCATTTTATGTTAAAATAACTGCAGCAGCCAAGTAATATACGCACAACAACTTTCAAATTTTGACTGAAAAAGAATAAGTTTAGAAACAATCCATTTAGATTATTGTTATTCACTTCTATATCTTATTTTTACTTGCATATTATGTTTAAAGAATGAAGACCGACTTTTATAAAAGCTCATAAGCCAGATACTTGTGAATTTTTACAGGTACCTCATGGAGGGAAAAAAAAAAAAAAAGAGTAGTCAAAGTTAATCTTTTCTGAGTGGAAGTGAGAAGTCCCAGTCCATAGTAAATTCTTCAGAGAGCAGAGTAGGTTCTTTGCAGAACACACATCCATTTACTTGCAAGTCCCCATAACTAGATTTTTGCCCTAAGATTCTCCCTCTCATCTCATCTCAATTCATTTAGCTATATCTGAAATCTTTCCAATGAACATGCATACCAACTAAAATTACCTGTTTTCAGATATTGGTTTTTTTTGTTGCTGTTTTGTTGTGGTTTATATCTCTCTGTAGCTTTTCTGCCTTTTTTGGTGATTATCATGATCTCCAGTTCATCTTCTGAACAGCTGTCATTGCCATACTTGATAAAAAGTTTTCATTTCTGTTGATAAAATGTGTCTAAGGCCATTAGTATCCTTAATGTTCTAATATTTGTGTATTATTAAAATAATAATAGTCAAAACTCTAGGAAATGCTAAAGAAGAATAATTTCCTAAAAGTAGAGCCCATGTTGTCGTTTTGTGTGCTGGTGAGTGGAGGACATTTTCTACTGACATTTCTCCAAGAATTCAACATTCTTCTTGTAATACAACTGCAAGATATAGTTTAGAGAGGTATCACATTGGAAGGCAAGGAAAACAGATGAGAGAATGGGAAGTATATGGAATCAAATAATTTATATAAAAGCCTGAGCTGGGTTTACTTTGTAAGTTATCTGCAAATTTTAGAGTACACATATTTCAAAACATGAAAAATTTTCTCAATTTTTGAACTCTGGAAACCCATTTGTTTTGCTTTTCTATCTCAGTCTTATACATCTTAATTCACAATCATATGTGTTGATAATGCTATTGCAGATATTTCCAGTCCCGGCGTCTGTTAAAATTGTGGTTTCCCTTCCTTCCTCCATTGTTTTTTCTTTTAACATTTTCTTTTAACATTCTCTTTCAGCATAAGGTCAGAGACTTAGCCCACTTGTTTGTTCCTAATATCATATCTTCTCTTCTGGATATGCTCATTGTTAAATGGCCAGTATCATATCTAGTCAAATCAAATACATTTGAGTTTGAAATAGTGATTGCATCTGGAACAGGTGGAGGCATAGATGGCTCAGTGGGAAGATTACTTGTGGGCTCACCCAAGGAAAGCAGCTTACAGAAAAAGCATTCTATGACTTCTCACTCCTGTGTATGCCACAGCTAATAAATCACCTGTTCTCTACAGAGAACAATAGAAGACATTCCCAGAGACAGCCTTTCAGAATGTCAGTTCACGCCACTGTTCTTAGTTTCCATATAACACGGTAATCTTGTGTCACATCCCAGGTAATTCTCTCTTGTTTTGAGGTGTAGATCAGTCTTTTAAAAGGTGACATTTCCTATGGAGTTGATAGTTTGAAGCCCATTCTTTTTCCCCTAGGGTATGAATTCAGGGAAAGAAGGATACTTCACTTTCCCCTGTAGCAATTTGGATCTTCACAGTAGCTCCATTTTTTTTTTAGGAGAGGTATGTGTTAACACTGTCATTCCAGCCTAAAAAGGCTGTATGATAGTAAGTCTACCCTTGCTGGAGTCTGAGGGACATCCAAGCTACAGCTCGCCTTTGTCTCACTGCTGATGGAGACACTGCGGTTATAGATGCATGAGTCTGCCCTTTGCCTGCATTTTATTCCATGTTGACATTTGCACAAAGTGGTTTCTAATATGGTAAAGCAATTCTGCTGATGGTGAGCAAGAAATTAGGCATCCTGTAGAAGCAAAAACTATTTTACATGCATAGCAGCTTTCAGTGGGCTTCTAGGCTCTGTTTTGTGCTTTACTGTCTATGAAAAAGTAACAGCGACTTCCAGCCCTTTCTGGACGTAACCAGAAGCATTTTCATTACTTTGAATTAGCATATTTATTTTATTGAAGCTGTAGTCATATGAAACTTAACTCAACATAAAAAATGGACCTAAGAAGCAGGAGGAGAGCTCAGGCAGTTAGCTGATGTGAACATGATTGCTCAAGGTCTTTCCCAAGCAAAACAAAAAACAAAAAAAAAAACATGCAAGCAAACAAAACCAATACCCGAGTGTCATATTCAGCTGTAGTAGTCTAAGCCCTTTCCTGTGGTCTGACAGTTGACACAAACATAACGTATACAACAATGTTTTTCACAGCTTTGAAAAAGTCATCTATACTTATCGTATCTTCAGGGATTATGAAGGATATTATAAAATGCAGGTAAGCAAATCTCATTTCATCTGTAATGACCTCATTATTTTAAATTTTAATGAATTTTAAGAAATAAGGCACTTGAAAAGATTGCCTTATTAAACAGGAAGCCTCCTTCAAAAGTAATGCCTCCCATTTTATTATGTTGGCCAGCAATGTCAGAGGCGGATGTTGGTGGTACTGTAGAAGTTGTTAAACCTTCCCACCAATATTCCATTACATTTTATTGCTATGCAACAGATAGCAGCAGAGGGGCAGTCTGACAAACGGCATCTGAAATGGAAATGCAGATGAAGCAAAGATGGCCGTCTGGATATGATGCATTTCCTCCATGCAGAAATTACACCCAATGAAATTCATTGACGTGTGCCAAATGTTTACGGAGACCAAACAGTGGATGTGAGCACAGTGAGATGGTCGGTGGTGTGTTTCAGCAGCAGTGACAGCAGCGTAAAAGGCAAGCCACTAGATGGTCCTAGATTCTAGATGGTCACGCACAGCTGCCACACCACAAAATGAAGAGTGCCTCAACCAGATCATGCAAACAAATTGGCAGATTATGAACATGGAGCTGAATATCAGCTTCAAAGTGGAAATGATGGTGGCAATGTTGGCATATTGTAAAGTTTGCACCAGGTGAGTCCCACACAGGAATAGAATGAACACTGTATGCAAGTTTGTAAGGACCTGTTGAACCAATGTGAGGCTGAGAGTGTCAGTTTTCTCAATCCCGTCTTTATTTGTTACAAGATGTGGTGTCATCAGTATGAGCTACAGTCAAAATGGCAGTCCACAGAGTGGTTATGTGAATTCTCCATCGAAGAAAAAGTTCAAGACACAGCCCTCAGCAGGTATAGTGCTGTGCCTTGTCTTTTGGGATAGGAAAGGGGTGATCCTTCTGGATTTTCCTGGAACCTGGACAAACCATCACAATACTGACTAAGCTGACGGCTTGAAATTCCAGAGTCAGGCCAGAGAAGAAGACACTCTATTTCTTGCAATACAATAATGGTAGTTACCAGTTTGAAAACCATGGAGCACACTGCCAATCTGGTCTGTACTGTCCTACCACACCCACCGTATTGTCTGGATTTGGCACCTACTGATTTCCATCTGTTTGGGCTGAGGAAAGCCGCACTGTGCAGGCAATATTTTCATTCCAGGAATGCTGTAATAACAGTTGTGAAACAATGGGTCACCACTGCTGCTGCATTTTTATGAGCTCAGCACACTGGCTCTTGTTCATCACTAGTAAAAATGCATAGCTAATGGTGATGTCTGTGTTGAAAAATAGTGTTTCATAGCTGAGAATTTGCTCAATCAAATAGTGTTATTGTGTTCTTTTTCATGTAGTACCATGAAAATAAATAGGAGGCATTAGTTTCAAAACAACTTACACATTTCCAACTTCCTTTTCTGCTATATTTACTTTTTGACTTTCTGACATTATACTTGCAAGCTTATAAGTAGATATTATCTTTCTGGAAATCCCTTATAATCTGAATGAATCAGCTATTTGTTGACCAGCTATTTCCCGATTTGACCATTTCTTTTTTATATTATTGAAGAAAAAATCTATAGCTTTCAGCACTTCTGTTCCTAATTAGCTTTTTCTATTTGGAAGCTCTGCCATGGCACCTAGAATCTAGGGGTTCTGAATATCAAAATTCTTGATTTTAAAAGACCTGCTCATCAGAGTGAAGCCATCACAATATCTGTAATTCTGTGCTTTTCTGTGGCACCGAAAGTAATGACTTCAGATAATGCTGCTTGCTGCTGGAATATGCATAAGAGCAGAATGTATCAATCAGATTCCTACACAAAGAATCTTCAATTTATAGGCAAGCCAAGAGGACATTTTAAAAACTGGATCAGCCCATGACTGGGAATAGGAATAGTCAACAGGACTTCCAACAATTAAGTAGGATTTAAGTGGAATGGGGTCATCAAACTCACTTTACAAAGGACACACCAAAGTGTCATTTGCTGGTCACTCTTGCTTATTTGGTGGTTTGGATTCAGTATGAGAGACACAATTTCCCATAAAGAACTGAATGATTTGTTGACAAAAAAGTAATCTATTTTGGATTACAGCCACTCTTCTGGGTTTTGCTTTCACACCTATCAGCAGACAATAAGTTTTTTCAAACTTAATTTTCCTTGCAGGGCCTGGTCATGAATGTAAAATAATACTTTTGTTCTTCTAGTTTTTAAGTCATATATTTTGGTTTACTAAAATATACTGAATATAGTATATTGATGGTGATGGGGGGATTGCTTGGTTTTTTTCAAGGGCCAGGTCCAGCTGTGAACGTTCTAGAGTGTAGTAGGCTGACCCTGACCTGCACATCCACAACTGCTTGTTCACACCCTACTCCTCCCAACAGGTTGTTGGTGGAAAGAAAATAGGAAAAGCAAGATGGAGAAAACTCATAGACGAAGATAAAAGGCAGGTGATACAATAGGTGATATATAGGCAAAGCAAATAAGAAATTTAGTTACTACTTCCCATCAGCAGATAGATGTTTAGCTGCTTCCCAGAAAGTAGGGTCTCAGCACATGTAAATGATTACTTGCCATAAACCACAGCCATCCCCATTTTCCCTAAGCTTTTAAAGTTGAGCATAATGCCTTGAGAGATGGGATACCCCTCTGGTCAGTTTAGCAGTCTCCACTCCCAGCTTCTTGCACACCACCAGTCTACTCACTGGGGGAGCAGGGTGGAAAAACACCTCAATACTAAGCAAGCACTGCTCAGTGATAGCCAAAACACTGTTGTGTTATCAACACTGTTTTAGTCATAAACTAAAAACACAGAACCATACAGGCTGCTATGAAAAAAGTTAACTCCATCCCAGCCAAAACCAGTGCATAGGGGCAGAGGCATTCAATCTATAATGAGTTGAAGGGAAGATAAAAAATGAAAAAAAATGAAGGAAAAAAAAAAAAAAAAAGGAAAATAACGCATCTCCAGATAGTGTTAAACCAAAGCCTCATCATTGACTTTTAATGACTGGTAGTGCAAGTGGGACCCTCGCTGTGATTAGAGCTTGTTAATGTACTTACTCTTTCACTGCTGTCTTGAAGCTGACAGTATTGCAAAAGTCTCCATGCAAATTACATGGAGGCTATGCTGCAGAAGCAGTGCGGTCCACATGTTAAAAGTCAGTTGTGAGGACTCTGTTTCCCTGCTTAGGAGTGTCATCCATGTTTGGCCTCGGCTGTTTCCTATGCTGGCCACAAATTTGGACAAAGCTGAGGCAAATAACAAATTTCCACCTAAAAGTGAAAGCTGGTGCTCATTTGAGCCCCCAGATATGTTAGCTGCTTCTGCAGGTGTCCTTTCTCAGTCATGCTAATATAGCATAAAACACTTGGCTTCTGCTTGTTGCATAGTTGTCCAAATCGAACATTTAAAATGGGAATTAAGTATGTTCCCCATAAGTTTGTGTTCCAAGACCAGAGGGAAGTCTGTAATGCTTTCATTCTACCGAACAATGCTGTAGTGGATTGAGCCAAGCTTAAACTTTGTATTTTATCTTATTTAGCAATAAAGAAATAGCTACAGGAGTCATAATGTCTACTGGACTATCTAGAAGCAGTAGTGGTGAATGGTTTTAGATCTTCAACTGAAAAATTGTTATCAATTTAAGTTTTGATTCCATAGCAATAATTCCTAGAGCTTAAACCTCCAGAATACATACATAGTTTGCTTATCCTCATCACCATTTTAACACTGAGTATGAAACTTCTTCAGCTGTCTTGGTAGGGATCTATGTTTAAGTGGTTTACCAGGACAGCAATATCATAAAACCTTTTTGGTGACGTAGACCAAGTCTTGAAGGACACATGCAGGGAGCAAGACATTTGCCTGGAGACTATGATCTCCATGGCTTCCTAGAAGGCAGCAACTGGTTCTGTTCTTTTGCAAGGAAAGAGTAAAACACATGGCCTGTGATGAAGAGTTAAATTTCATAGCGCTTGGACTGTAGTTGACTGAAATCCCTTTTTTTTTTTCTTTTTTTCTGAACAAACAATGTGAATTTTAAGTCCCTTCAGGAATTCCCAAAGGGAAGAACTGAGACATAGTCAGACTTGCAGGGCCATGAGGGAGATGGTTACAGACATCAGCTATTGGAATGAAGGAGGTAACATCTGTTCTTTCTAGGATGGGAAGTCTGTGATCTGAAGCTAGGCAGGGAGCACTAAATAGCTTTCCCTTGGCTGCAGCGCACACAAGCAGGGCTGGTGAAGGAGGTTAGGCTTGGTACCATAACCACACCACCACACAGGTGTCCTTCTTGTGTTTAGAACAGTATTCTGTCACCATACAGGTTTACAAAACGTCCTTTGGTGAACAAGTTATGGACAGTTCTTTTCATTACAGATTACAAATACAACTTCAAACAAACTTAGTTTTTCTTTCCTTACAGACTTCTGAAGGTGTTCCAGAAAAGGTCTTCAGAACACTAAAGGATTTAATATATAACTATGAAAAGCCAAACCAAGGGTTAGTAACAAAGCTTCGCTACCCAGTCAAGAAAACAAGCTCCTCACGAAGAAACCAGAAGTTCAAGTTAGGAAATGATAACGTTTACGATGGTGAGAAATCTAATTTAGTCTGTCATTTCATTAAGACAACAATTGCATTGACAGGTGAATAATTGCTATGTATCCTCTGAGACAAGCTTGCATGGACAGAAATTCAAGATCCTTCCTTCTTTTTTATGTTCACTGGAAACTGCTTAGTTCTAGGTCACAGGTTACATACACTCATCCACCATAAATTAACAGAATAAAACTAAAAAAGGTACAGATGCCAAAGCATGGTATTGCCCAAAACTCACTCCATGAGTATCAGTGCTCTTAGAATACAGAAAGCTAAGAAACAGTTTTACACAATGTGATTTTGGCAAGCTGACAGGCTCTTATATTTCAGTGAAAGTTGAGGCTGTCCTTTACTTTGTTGTCCAGGTCAAAAGCTACTTTTATACCAAAATCTAACTTGTAGATTATTGTGATTTGTGTTAGAACATGACCTTTCTTAGTTATCATGTTGAAAATAAGAAGTATACAGCCTTGTGTTCAGGATCACAGATCTGGAACCAAAGAGTTTAGTTCCTGGGGTTGCACTACTGGTTGTTAGCCAGCTTTCAACATTGTGTTCTAGACCAAGAACCACTTCTGTAAGGGTGGCTACAAGTTCTATTTCTGCCTTTTCCCTGGATTCTAAAATAATAACAATAATAACAAAAAAATCTAACAAGGTCTGAGATGGTTTTTCAAGCTAAGGGCTTTTCTGTTGGGAATATTTATCTAAAGAACAAAAGCTGAATTACACTACAGTCATAGCTACCTGTGCTATTGATCTGAAATACTGACTATGTATGATTAGAACATGTAACTTTCTCAGAAAGACAGGGTCTCATGTGGATACAACCATTTAATTACAGAGCTTTCTGATTTAGAAAGGGCAATATTGGCTTCGCTTCCACATGTGGAGTGACCTAGAAAATCCAGTCCAGAGGAAACTAAGTCTAAACACTGGTTCTGAAATAGCAGACAGAATACTGAGAAATCAAACTGAATTAATAATATCTACATAGCAACATGACAACATGACAACATGCCATCTTGCATAGAGGAGTCTTTCAGAAAAGCAATTAGCAATGACAAGATCTGTTTTTTCTTTATTTCTTTACAGAAATTGATGAAACTGATTATGTAGATGTCTTACCTTGAACGATTTGCAACCTGACGAATTGGAAAGACCTCATCTTAGACTGTGCCACAGCACATCAACTGGAGACAGTTAACAGTTGGACAGTCAAAGCTATGTATCTATACTCTGGAATTAGTGCCTTTTGTAGATTAACAGAGCAACTGCATTTTGCCCCAGTAGATACAGCACAAAGTACTATATATTTTTTGTGCATCGTTAAGAGAATTAGTTTTCCTGACATGTGGATAATTGTATGGGGGAAAGGGAGTGCGTACTTGTTTGCTTGTGTATGTGTATTTATTGGGTTTTTTTAGCAAACTTTCCAAGATGCCTATTGCTGAAACATACAATCTGTTATTTTATAAATCAGATATCTAAAGACAGCTGTCAAGTAGATGGGGCCAGGCTCTTTTCAGTGATGTCCAGCAACAGGACAAAGGACAATGGGCACAAACTGGAACAGAGAAAGTTCCATATGATCATGAGGGAGAGCTTTTATACTTCGACAGTGACAGAGGACTGGCACAGGCCGCCCAGAGAGTCAGTTTTCTTCTCACGAGATATTCAGGATTTGTCTGGATGCCTTCTTGTTCAACCGGCTGTAGAGAACTGCTTTAGAAGGGGTTTGGACTCATGGGTGTCCAACCTTTTGGCATGCCTGGGCCACACTGAGTGAAGAGGAATTGTCTTGGGCCACATCTAAAATATATAATATAGTTAATTTATATAAGTAGCAAAATTTCTTTCTTTTTTTTTTTTTTTTAATTAAAATATAAGAAAAAGAGGACAACAAAATAAATTCAGTAGGTCAGACGTACACAGACCAGATAATCTCAGACATCCTTCCAATCTCTATGATTCTGTGATTTTGTGAATGTTAGAAATTGTGAATATAATAAAGGAATGTTCATAAAGCAATAGCTTATGGCAGAGCTGATATAAGTTGATAAAAAATATATGCAATAAAAATTCCATTGACATCATTTAATGCTTAAAACTTCTAAACTCTGTTATTTTGTTCATGATGTTACTTTGTAGTAGGGATATATGGGTAGTATTTCAGCTATGTGAGTATTTGTATAAGTAATATCACTTAGATTTCTTTCATATTAATACCAGATAGATTTATTTTTTATTATGTATCTTTACTGTTTATTGAAGGTTAACTTTTCTTAGCAGGGTCTGTTGTGTCAGGACAAGGGGAAACGTTTCAAACTAAAAGCAGGGACATTTAGATTGGACATCATAAGAAGTTTTTTACAATGAAGGTGATGAGGTTGCCCAAAGAGGTGGCAGATGCCCCATCCCTGGAAGCAATCAATACGAGGCTGGACGGGGCTCTGAGCAACCTGACCTAGCTGTAGGCATCCCTGTTCATTGCAATGCCTGCAAATGGGTTATCATCCGTGTCAGACTGCGGTATCACACACCAGCTCGGCGTTTAACCGCGTGCAACGCTTCAGCTTTCACTCAAGCAAACTAAGGTCCACCCCAGCAGAAAAGCCTCATAAGAACGACAGACCACACCACGGCACCGCCCCTGCCACTCCTATTCTGCGCCCCCGGCAGGAAGATGGCGGCGCTGCCTCCCGCCGTGCCCCGCGGGTAGGCGGGCACTCCCGCGGGTAGGTGGGCGCTGCCATCAAAATGGCGGCGGCGGCGGGAAGTACGAATCGGGTATGCCGCTCGTTCCTCTGACGAAACGTTTCGGGGTGTCATGGATGCTTCAGGTTGCATGAAGTCCCTGCTTCTGGCAGCCACGCAGTACCGGGCTGCTAAGACGCCGTCCAACACTGCTCTGGTCCGGCGCAGCCTGGAGGTGAGAGCGGAGCGGCTTGCTTCGAGGAGGGGCTGGCTGCGGCGTTCGTTCTCTCGGGTGTGAGCGGCTCCTCTCGGCACTGTTCGGTGGCCGGCCGCGGCTGCTCCGTTCCGTGGCTGTCGGCCTGGGCTCCGAACTGCCGTGAGCTCGGCCGACTCAGCCTCGAGGCGGCCGCGGCCTCCCTCTCGGCTCAGCGGGTGGAAAAACCCCCTGTCGGGGTTGTCTCCTGCGGGGCGGGGGAGGGAGAAACAGCTTATTTCTGTCCCTCGTGTTGTTACTTTGTCCTTTGCCGTAGCGTTTTATGCTGTTTTCATATATATATGCGCACAGATGTACTGGATATTCACATATGTGTGTGCTCTTCACAGAACTCAGGTATGCGTCTATTCTCTAAACACTGGCCCACAAGGATCATTTTGATTTCCCAGCTTAAAAATACAGTTTGAGCGATGAGCTTGTCTTGTACCTGCCTTTAGCTGGTTTCAAGTGATGTGTAATCAGGGATATCTGCTGCTGTAGCCACCCCTACCTTTCCCTGTCCTGGTGCAGCCCTTACAGTGGGCATGGTCCAGTGGTGAGTGATTGGGCTGCTTCATCTGTATTTTTTCAAATACAGATTTTCTTAAAAATCGTTGTTACTAAAACATCGATATAGAAGATGTTATTTGGCTTAAGCCTTCAAGAACTGTGTAGATGTGGCACTGAGGGACATGGTTAGTGTGTGTGTGGTGCTCAGGTTGGAAGGAACCTTCAAGATCGTTAAGTCCACCCACAATCTAGCCATACTACTCTAACTGTTACAACCTTCTGCTAAATCATGTTCCTGAGCACCACATCCAAATGGTTTTTAAACACATTCAGAAATGGTTACTCAACCACCTCCCTGGGGAGCCTATTCCAGTGTTTAACAATGTTTTCTGTAAGGAAGTTTTTCCTCATATTCAAACTAAACTTACCCTAGCACAATATGAGGCCATTTCCCCTCATCCTGTCACTAGTGAGAAGAGACCAACCCTGCTCTAACTGCAATCACCTTTCAAGTATTTGAAGAGAGCAATAAGGTCTCCCCTCAACCTTCTCTTTCCCAGTTCCTTCAGTCTCTCCTCATCGGGCATGTTCTCCAAGCCCTTCACAAGCATTGTTGCCCTTCTTTGGACCTGCTCCAGGACCTCTTTCTGTACTGAGGTGCCCAAAACTGAACACAGTACTCAAGATGGGGCCTCACTAAAGCCAAGTACAGGGGCAGGATTACTTCCCTAGTCCTACTCACCACACCACTGGTACAAGCCAGGATGCCCTTGGCCTCATATTCATCTGACAGTCCATCAGTAAGCCAAGGTCCCTTTCTATCAGGCAGGTTTCCAGTCTCTCCTCCCCAACCCTGTAGGGTTGTTGTGACCAAAATGCATGACCTGACACTTGGCCCTATTGAAACTCATACAGTTTACCTTGGCCCATCAATTCAGTCTATCCAGGTCCCTCTGTCGTGCCTTTCTCCTCTCTGGCAGATCAACGTTCCCTCCCAACTTGGTGTCATCTGCAAATTTACTGAGGGTGCACTCAATCCCCTCATCAAGATCATTGATAAAGGTGTTGAATAGGAGCGGCTCCAGTGCTGAGCCCTGGGGGACACTGCTCATGACTGGCCACCAACTGGATTTAATTTCATTGACTGCAACCTTTTGGCCCGACCATCCAGCTGGTGTTTCACCAAGCAGAGTGAACGCCCATCCAAATAATGGGTGGCCGGCTTCTCCATCAGGATGTTGTGAGGGACAGTGTCAAAGGCTTTACTGAACTCCAGGTAGATCACATCAACAGCCTTACCTTCATCCACTAAGCGCGTCACCTTGTCATAGAACAAAATCAGGATTGTCAGACAGGATCTATCATTCATAATTTTTTCCAACCTCAGTGATTCTGTGATTAACTTCCTTCTCTGATCTATTGTAGAAAAGTACACAGAGGATATGGGAAAAAAAAAAAAGTTACATTGTTTTGTCATGCATATATAACACAAGTCCAATTATGTGCAGATCTATCACTTTTAATATCCCCTTAAATGGGCTTTCCTTTAACTCAGGATTCCATTTTTCATCGTAAGCATAGAGTTCTCACAAAGCAGCACTGATCTATTACCACTTATCTTCAAGCAGGATAAAACCTTTGTATTTCAGTCCAGTTCTTCAGAAAACAAGTTATTGAGTTGAAGTACCAGAGATGCATACAGAGGAGTGAGGCCTAGTTTGTTTTTTGTTTTTTATGTTTACACAGTACAAACCTGAGTGTCTTACTAGATTGGCAGTTAATTCTCAGTTTGTCACGTATGGCAAAATATAGGTAATATCACTTTGTACAATTAAATACACTTTGTATATTGAATACTCTGTAGCAGTTAAGTAATTGAGTTTTTTCTCCTTTTATCTCCAGGTAATCTCAGGACTGAAGCTAACACGATTATTTGCTTCCAACCAGATTCTACCAAGTGAATGTCTTAATTGCCTAGTAGAACTTCTTGAGGATGCTAATATAGATCCTTCTCTGACATTGTCTTTGGTGACTTTACTATCACAGCTAGGTAAGGTTTGCATTTTAACATTAACTTTGGGTCTTTGTAAGAGAAGACAAGGTGAGTGTTGGTTCTGTGGCATGTGTGATGAACTTCTTAGAAAAACCAAAGGTATGAAAAATATATAGCTCTTGAAGTGCTTGCCTGATCCACTGGACGATAAATACAAGATCAGATAAAGGTGTTAAACCACTGTTCAAAATGGATTTGAAGTCGTTATTGTGAAATGACAGTGTTTCATATTTGGCAGAATTGTCCTAGGCTCACATGCTTCAAGTTTCCCAGTTAGAAAACAGATCCTAGAGCCCTTCATTTGTTTGTTGGAATTTATTTTCTTTCATAGAAGTGTGACTTCTTCATTTATCAATGGAGCTCTGTGCTCACCATAACTGCATATTCAGGTTATATGTATGGGGAAAAAATTCTCTTATCTCTCAACTTAGGCTTTCTTGTTAGATGTGCGTTGTTCTTTGAGATTTAAGTTGTTTAGGATGATCCATTGTTTATCTTCTCTTTGTAAATGATTATTGTAAAATGATACATTTTGGGGCTTCGTAAGTGTATTTCCCAACCTCTTGGATCTAGAAAACTTTAAGAATCAGTTCTCCTCCAATTGATCTATTGTTTTATCTGTCTTCCTTGTTTGCTGTGTCTTTTCTGAGACTGTCTAAGCAGAACAGATTTTTTTTTTGTATTACTATTGCTAGATAACCTAATTAAGTTATCAGTTTTAGTCTCTTGCCTATCTTAGTACGAAGGAGGAAACTAATATCGTTGATTTTGAGCTTTAAAGCTTCTCAAGTGCAGGATTCAAGTTTTCAAATAAAGCTTAAACTTTGCTGGGAGGAGATGGACGCTTTCTTCACTGTCCAAATGTTTCGAGGAAAGGTCTTAGTGTTTCAACTGACTGTAAGCTCAGAATTGAGGTGGAGATTCAAGTGTGTAGGAGCTGTGATTTGTAATTATTTGTGAAATATATGTGGAAAACTGATGAAAGACTTCAGGTTATGCTTAGATCAGTTGCTAATACAATAATTGCTTTTGCTGTTACATAAGATTGTGGGTTGGTGGGTTTTTTGTTTGTTTGTTTGTTTTTAAATCTTAAATTCTAGCTTCAGACAATGAGACAAGAGAAGCTCTTCGGGATACCTACAGTCTGACCAATGTGCTGGCAGGAGTGGTTCATCGAAGTTCTACTAATCTTAGTGATCCAGTCTTATTACAGGTAACAGGAACTAATACTTAATATTTGCTTACTGAGTAAAAGTTGACAAGATGGATGTTTTATTTACTGTGTGAG